TGAAAAAAAAAATCCATTCCCTCTGCCCACAGAACACAGGGTGAAAATAAATGTCAGCTCCCAGCTCTTGCACAATGTATGTTTTCTTGTTGATTAATCACCATTCTTCTTCAGTTTTTCAATGAATTTTCCTGTCTATAACTGTTTAGCATTGTTTCATGTTTAGTTTGTGTTTTTAACCCATTTCTCCAAGGACATCATAAATTCTGTAGTTACTGTTTTCTACTTTGGTCTACTTAGAGAAGTCCCCAAAGCATTATCTTCCTCTAAAAATACTACTTAGTTAAAATGAAAGTACACAAGGCATTCTGGATCCAGGATAAATCTCTACAGTTTTCACTCAAATATCTTCTTAAACACACACACACACATACACACACACAAACACAAATATATATATATATATATATATATATATATATATATATGTCACAAGCAAGCAGAAAGTTTAATTCAGGAGGTGAGGAGACAGCATTCTTCAACATTCTGGAATGCTTCATAATAGCAAGTTATCTTTCAAAGATGTAATTTATTTTTTCCAAAACAAATAGTTTCATTGTTTTTGTGAATTATAATAAACACTTTAAGCATTTAACAGTAATAAAAATATTTTTTTCTTTTTTTTAAGTTTGGTCACTTTATTTTTTGTTTTTATTAGTGTTTTGGTTGTTACAAGGTGTCGCTACATAGCTAGGACTGGTAGTGATCCTCTCATTTTCAGCCTCCCTAGTGCTGGGATTGCAGGTGTGTGTCACTAAACCTGGACTCTATGGCTGGCTGAGCCCATCCTGAGGTTGAGGTTGGCTTGGCATGTAGTGCCAGGGATTGAACCGCGGCCCCTGAGTTTGCCTAAGCTTGCCTAAGCAGGCCCTTCAGTCTGCTGGGCTATCTTGCTGGTCTCAATAAAAGTATTTTTAAATAGGATAGTTCTCTTATAATGGTGCTTCTTAGAGATAAGAGGAACACTAATTTTTTTTTTCTCCTTTGCAGTACTGGAGATTGAACCCAGGGCTTTCATACTGAATTACAGGGGCTAGGGAGATGGCTCAGTGGAATAACCGCTCCCCTGGCAAGCGCAAGGGCCTGAGTTCAATCCCCGGGTCTCAAAAAAAACCAAAAAACAAAAAACACTGGGTCTCAGTACCTCTCTAAGTAGCGTAAGCTGGGCTGACTTACTATCCCCTTGTCTCATCCTCTGAGTACTGAGAACACTGAGTTACCATGCCCAACACTTTTTAAGACTGGAATGCACATATTAACGTATTTATTAAAAACATAAGATCATATATTGATGATAATACACAAACCTGTAGTCCTAGCACTTGGTAGGCAGAGACAAAAGGATCCCTATGAGTTCCAGGCCAACTTGAACTATATACTGAGACTCTGTATCAACAAAAAAAACCAAAAAAAAAAAGAAAGAAAGAAAGAAAGAAAAGAAAAGAAGTATTTCTTATGAGGCATGTTAGACAGTTTGTGATCCCAGCTCCTTAGGAGACAAACAAGAGGGATGCAGGTTTGAGGGCAGCCAAGCAACTTAATGAGCCCGTCTCCAAATAAAAACTGTAAAAATGCCTAGGGATATACCTTTGGATAGAGAACCCAGGACCACAAAAATTAAGTATTTCTCTAGACAAATGTACCACAAAAAGTTTAATGGCAAATTGAAAAGGTAGTATTTGTAATTTTAGAGTGCAGAAGTACGGGGAATATAACCCAGGGCCTTCTCAGACTAGCCATCCCCTGCCTCAGCTTTCCAGAACACTAGGATTGTAGGCATGGGCCAGTACACCTGGCTGTAACATCTCCAACAGAGAGGTGAGAGCAAAGATTTACAGAAACTCAGAAAATCTCCAAGAAGACAAATACTTCAGTAGAAAAGTGGGTAAAGAACATGAATAGCAGCACAAAGAAATCCTAAGAATTGGCTGCAGGGTCATCTCAGTGATAGAATACTTACTTAACATGTGAAGTGCTGCTTGAACCCATCATGACAAAAAAAATAATAATAATTGCTAATAGGAAAAATTATTGTGACATGATGTTCA